CTACATTGCCTGCACCTGAGCTCCTCTGGGTTGGCCCTGCCTTCCCACCAGGTGCTCGATTATTGTTTTGAGCCATAACAGCATTTTTGCTACACCCATCATATGGGCATTTGAGGTTCAGCTGTTGTCAAGTTATGGACCACTGCTGAAATGGAGAATGGCATGTGAAAAATGACACTGCCTAAGCAGGCACAGATGCTGTATCAAAGAGCTAGTAATTGAAAGGACCCAATAGTGAGCACATGGGAGTTAAGCCCAAAATAAAGCATAAAATAGGATGACTAACTTTTTCCCTGTAACCAACAGTTTCCTAAACCAGACTGAGAACAGTAATATAATAAAGCAGCCACTGAAGAAGAGGAATTGCCTGCACCACAAGAAGTATTGCAAAAGGATGAAAGGAACTTGTAGGACTTGTAAAAGAGATCACCTGCATATTTAGAACAAGCAGGTGAGACTTTTTATGCAAAATCAGTGTCCAGGTAGCCAGGACAGGTGGGGTTTTTGCCAAATGCATTTGTGAGATCCTAGACTACTTAGCATTGCTGGGTTATACAGAGCTGTATATGCATCCAAGAAACTTGTCAGTTAGAGGAGATGGTCTTCAGCTCCACTGCTGACATCTCAGTTGCCAGCTGCCCTTTCTCAGTGCTATGGCAGTGTTGTGCTGGACAAAACTCCTGGTAGAAATGCAACTGAGTGACAGTGTATTGCTATTGTTTGTTCTGGTCTCAGGGATGGTTATGTCATAAAACCCAAAAAAGTGGAATTGCAGAAAAGTACAATTTTGCCAGTGCAATATGCTGGCAATGCTCTTGCAGAAAATCACTCTTCAAATATGTATAGTTTGGCTGCTACCCATAAGTTGAGTGCTGTTTTACTGCTCAAAAACTCTGTTGAATCCAAGGGATGACTGACAATATAAATAGTACTTTGTGGGAGGAATATGCTACTCCCAGTTGTGTGTGAAAGATACTCTCAGCAAGGTGTTACACAGCTTGAAAAGCTAGCAATGGCTTCATGAGTAACTAGTGAACAATGCAGCTCTCTCAGAGCTCTGTGCAGAGCAAACACTTCTCATAGCAGTCTCCTTTTTCTTCCATTTAAAATAAGATTTATGTCTTTTATGTACATTGAAGTGAAAAGATTTGAAAACTTTATGATCTCTTCATCACAACCACATCATCTATAGACAAGACTTCAGCTTTTGAATATCAGATATCAGTACTGCTATTCTCCAGTCTTAATTCAAGCAAGGCTTTCAGTGTTGACTGTGAATGCCAGGATCCTGGAATAAGGACTAGGAAGGCTTGGTTGCTATTATCATTGCTGATAACTATGCTAATTTTGCTAAGAACAAAAGCTGAGTGTGGTTTTGTGCATATCAGTTTTTTCCTTGTCTTGTCTTTTGCCACGCTAAGACTTATCACCACACTGTGGAAACACAGCCCTTTTTTGGCCATGTCAGATGTAAATTTCTTCCATGCAGAGGGAAGAAATTTGAGTCTTAAACACAACTGAATTAACCACAAATAAATACAGACTACAGAGGCGAAAAAAACATCAGTGCATCAGAGAACTGAAGTAGTAAAGTCACTGTGGCATTCACAGTGGAGATCTTGATGCTAAAGCAATGGGCCGAATGACGTTAACTCATTACTCATTCATGTGTTTTCTAAAAGATTGTCTGTACTTCACACATAGTAGTAGAATTGTTTTTATAAATAAAGCTATTTTACAAGAACTTTATCATGTGAATAATGTTTACCACCAACACACAACTCCTTTTTGCACTGAATCCTGCGTGCTCAGTTCCTTTACTGTCTTTCCAAAATATAATCCTTTTATCTGGCTAAGCTCCCACTTAAACTGCAAGCAGTGGTGGCTTTTTTGTTTGTTTTTCATTCATTTGTTTCAATTCAATGGACAAAAGGAAACAAATTCTGTTATGTCGAGTTTTACAGCCAGAATTTATTTTCTACAATCCAAATCAGAATGAAATGTTCTATTTCATTTAGGAGTGTTTTTTAAGAGTAACTTAGTAGCATGAGGAATTCTGTGCTTACATTTTATTGTGAATTAAGCCACTGAACAAAACAGGGAAGAGTTTAGATCATGTCTACACTACAGCAGTTAGTTACTGAGTAGAGTACCTGTGCCTTGCCCAATTAACTTGCTCAAGCTCCAAGAGCAACTTGTCAAATCTGTGCAGACAAGATCAGATTGGAAGTTCAAAGAGCACTCTGTACTCTTGTATCTCATAGCTCTGGAGAATTTATGCAGGAACACAGTGATAATACAAGGGGGAGTGGTTTTAAGTTCAAGGTGGGAAGGTTTAGATTGGATGTCAGGGGGAAGTTCTTCACAGAGAAAGCAGTGAGGTGCTAAAACAGGCTGCCCAGAGAGGCAGTGGATGCTTCATCTCTGGAGGTGTTCAAGGCCAGGTTGGATGGGGCCCTGGGCAATCTGGTCTAATGCCAGATCTGGAGGTTGGTGGCCCTGCCTATGGCAGGGGAGTTGGAACATGATGGTCCTTGGAGTCCCTTGCAACCCAAGCCATTCTACAATTCTCTGATTCTATGAATACTAGATTCTCCCATTTGGTCATTTATAAGAGGAAAATCACTTTGTGCTTACCACTCAGTTAATTTTGGCAGACTCATAAATACTTTACTGAATAGCTGGTATGCTCTTGAAAAAGGAAGCAAAGCCCTGGCCTCTCCTCTAAAGGAAATGGCCACATTGGAAGGCTAGGGAGCTGCAACACCCCCTCAATGCTCTGCTCCCTCCCTTTCTTTTGTTTGGCTCAGCCCCAGTGAATACTGATGTATCCTTTTATGAAATGGCACATTTTGAACAGGGTTGGATACTGCTTCTGCTGCTGAGTAGCTTAGGTCCTGTCTATAAAATAATTCTCACAGGCAGTCCAATTCTCATTGGACATTTGGGGCCAAATCCCATTGGGCTGCTGACAGAGAGTTTACTGCTCACTTGCTTCCCATGAAAGATATAACGTATTTACCGGAATACAACCCTCCCTCTTTATGCCATTTATGGGAAACACGTCACTCAGAGTTTATCAAGCAGTTAATTTATAACAGGCAAAACCAGAAGGTCACTCTTTGGAAGAGCAAATATTTGTAGAAAATCTCCTATACGGGACAGTCACCTTCACATGGTTTTTAAATATAGTTGATTAAGTAACAGAGAAACTACCTAATAGGTAAGTCGAGGTTTACCTGAATGAATAGGATTGTAAAGAGGAGGATTATTTTATTACATATGTTAATATTATTAAGTATGTTATATACAGATAATATTTCTCATATATTCTCTAAATAGGATGATTCAAACGGTTTTAGATCTTGATCAGCATTATAATCTATTGGATGTTTCTCTTACTCCTTCTCTTACTATAACATCTTCAAAAGAAAAAAAGAACTGAAAAAGTAACTTTTCTCTATCATGTTTTTATTAACTAAATTTCTACTCCTTTTGTAAAGGAAGCTCTCAAAACTAGCAATAATTCACTAATAACTCTAATTCACTTTAGGAATGTAAAAATGTAAGCTTATAACGTGCAAAAATATCACATTATTGTTACCCAAACTGTTTTTTCCTAGTCCTAGAGGACATATTGTATTTCTAACTGTTACTGAATGACAAAGCTGATGCAATATTTATGGTACATTATTGCAATCTCAGTACTGCAATGACTGTTTAGTGAAATGTTGAGGTTCTTACTCCTGTGATGTGTGTAACATGGGCATTTACATGCATGAGGAAGCAGGATTCTTTCCTTTAGTGCTGAATGGTTGTGGACATGCCTATACACAAGGGCTGGGTTTGCCTGTCTTCTCAGTCTGAAATCCATTTGTGCTGGGACAGCAGAGCAACCTGGATGGCAACTCATGGCTTTCCCTATTTGGTTTCCCCATCTCCCTGGGAAGACTTGGTGGCCTTTCTGAGCCAAGTATCAAGCAGTCCTTTCAGAACAAGATACAGCAGTGGTGTACAGCAGTGTCAGGTGTTGCACAGAAATTGCACTGTGCACAGAAGAAAATCATGAATCAGGAGAAAATCACAGAATAGGTTGGATTGGAAGGGACCTGAAAGCCTTCCCATTTCCAGCCCCCCACCATGGGCTGGTTGCACCCATCCAACCTGGCCCTCAATGCTTCCAGGGATGGGTGGCATCCACAGCTTCACTGGACAGCCTGTGCCAGTGCCTCACTGCCCTCTGTGATGGAATACTACCAGAAGATATGTTTTCCAGTCATTGTGTCAGATCTTGCAGCATCCAGGGTTACCCTTTTGGTGAAGGATTGTTTCCCTGAGGAAGCTTCACATGCTTTCAGGTCCAGAGAGGTCCTTTTTGTTGCCATAGCATTGAGGCAGGAGAAGTACCTTATGCCTTTGTAACCTCCCACAGAAGAAGGTGACTACACAATGAATAGAAGTGCTTGGCAATTTAAGAGCTCTTAACAGCTTTGCATTATGATAGGTCAGGGAGAGTAAGTGTCCCAAATCTGAAGAAGCAGCTGGTGCACCTTTTGCCAAGGCAGGAGATGAACTCAAGGTAAACCCTTTCCTACATAAAGCTGAGAGCTGGGTTTTCATTTGACTTTTGGAGAAAAGATTAAACACAGATTAAACAAGCATGAAAGCATTCATGATCCGCATCTCACTGAAGATAAAGCAAGAGTTAATAGGAAAGAAAAAGGAAGAAAAAATATTCACAGCCACAGTAAGCTCCATATTTTAGTGTTCCCTGACTGCCATGCACTCAAGAGAAGGCACAAAATTCAGAGATCTCACTGCCTCCCCATTAAGTCATTACAGCCCATCTGTGTCACATCAAGTACAGAACATGACCTATTATCTCCAAGAAAAATAGCATACCACCTGGCTGCCAAAAACACCCTGTGACGTGGCACCCAAATGTCCCTGTACTCACATCAGCGTACCTTTCTGGGATTAACTCCCACAGCCTGAATCAGGCAACTGTGAAATTCAGTTGAACTCTGAATAAATGGCAATCAAATAAAACCAGCTTTCCCATATGCTAAATCACAAATTGTACAATGACTATTATAGAGCTTTAAACAGCCATAGTTAATAGTTGCCATGTGTTTTCTAGACTGTTGAATTGCTTTAATGATGGGCCCTACAATCAATATTTTCCTCTCGGGTTGGACTTTAGGAAAAATTTCTTCACAGAAAGAGAGCCAAGATATTGGTACAGGCTGCTCAGTGAGGTGGTAGAGTCACTGTCCCTGGAGGTGATCAAGAAAAGGGTAAATGTTGCACTGAGGGGTTCATGGGTTGGTATTTGGACTAGATGACCTTGGAGGTCTTTCCAACCTTGTTAATTCTATGATTCTATGTCTTTTATCTATTATCATGCCACTGTAACACATGGATTCTGTGCAGGCTTAGTGGTCTTATACACTCTGTTCAGTCTGCAATGGGAAAATTCACCTCCATTCAAGACTTTTTCCATAAAGAGTAATTCAATGCCACTTTATGGGAGCTAAATTTGCATATCACTTTAATGGAAAGATGAATGATGAGTGTATTTGCATTTCATGCTTGAAAAGCATATTTGCATGTTTGATACTAAAGTTTGCCTGAAGCTTTTCTGGAAAATATGTCCAGATCTCTCCAAACATTTTGTTTGGTTATGAGAGAACCTCTGTTAAATTTGCTCAGAATTACAACATCTATAAATTTGTAACCATTGAACAACTGTTTCACCCTCATGCTATTTGACACTGAAACATGGTACTTTCAGGCAGGAGGCAGCACTGACAAACCTGCTCCGGTATTTGCTGGACAATGAAGCATAAAACAACAGGGAATCCTATGTCAAGTGATCAGGAGATTGATCTGAATGGAACAATAAACAACCTGTATCGGAAGAGAAGTGAATTGAAATTATGAAATGCAATTATTCCTCATAATGACATTGCATTTCCAGTGCTGAGCTTCATAATCCTTCTAGGGCTTTGTGACTATAAGCAGTAACACGAAATTTCATGCTGACCTACTAGAAATAACTGTACATACTGGGCTGTCAGCAGTACGTTAGCAGCTATGGCACCTTCCTCTACCTGACATTGAGGTTTAGGCTTCAGCCTTGTTCTCTTGGTGAGATAGAGGTTGGCCTTCCTGATACAGCCACATACTGGGAGGTTATCACCAGGGAGTTGAACACTGTAGCCACATTACTTTGAGTGCTGCCCTGTGTATTGCACAAAAAACCTAGAATGTCTTAATAATATTTATTTGGGCTTTCACAGAATTTTGACGTTTCTGATGCTTTTGGCAGTGGAGTGCCAATCATATTCACTGGCAAAAATTTCTTGCATAATTTGTTCCTGCTTCCCCACGGCCACATCAATACACTCCAAAGTTACGGAAGTACTTAACCTATTGCTTGTATACAAAGCTACAAGTGATTTAGTGATGCTGTGTAAAGGAACTAGATAGAAGCTTTTTAATTCTTGTTAAGAGTGTATCTGAAGTCTAGCTCTCCATGATGTATCAAGGAAGAGCTGACCAGCAAGAGTTATGATTACAGATACCACTAAAATCTATACTCTCATTTTTAGCCCAAATGAACGAACGAACGAACAAACCAAAGGACACAAGAAAGTAAAAAAGTACTCAACCCACATTTTTTTTAGGATAATAATCTTTCAATAGTAGTGTCCCTCAAATAATGTATTTGACAAAGAGCTGCTTGTGCTGCAGTATCATCAGGATCTTTGTTTTATTTCATACATGTGAAAGACAGCTCATCTTGACTATTATTACTGCTTAGTTCCCTACTGAACAATGGATACCTATTTCAAGACCATTTTTTGTACATGGTTAGATGAATGACTGGGTAAAAGTACCATATGCTCAGATTCTGTCTCACCTTAGATCAGCTTTGTGCAATTTATATGTCAGTGGAGTTAATCCTGATTTACTCTGATGAGTTTGGCTTAATATCTTCTCTCTTTTAAAGATATATATATTTTTGCCTGATTTTAGTTTTCTACATTACTAGACAAATATATCCTTCTAAAATTTCTCCTGGAAAACCAAGGCATAAGTTAAAGGGCAGAAGTCTGATTTTTAGAGTTTGCAAAAGTGAGCAGTGTGGGATTCCAGAATGCTCCAAGTAATTTAAAAAATGTTTAAAATTTACATAAGTATTTTTCTGATTGGTTCTTCGAATTCATCACTTCTGGAACAAAACCTAGTGGCTGTAACACGATTTAAGTGTCTGTTTTAATATAACAACATCTAACTATTAAGGGCATGTTTTCTGGATTGGCTTTTATCAGATCAGATGGTTTTTATGTTTCTCAGATGTTTTTTGTTTTGGATTGGTTTTTGTTGTTGTTGTTTTGTTTGTTTGTTTGTTTTTGGTTTTCTTTTTCCTAAGGAGTTGAATCTTGTTGATGTAGCATGCCACTGATATAAAACACCTGAGGTAACAAATGAATGAGCAATGGAATGGTAACTCTCAGGTCACTACCAATAGATGGATCTCATAAGAATGGCAACCATGATTAAGACCCATACATAAAAGGAGATTACAAGTCACTTGTCAGTGGTAATGAAGAACAGGAAGTTACAGGTCTCATCTTCTCAGTAGATCACCCTTAGTCTTTGTCAGAACCATTCAGGGAAAATGCCATTTCTGACATTTGTTGCCTGGAGAGCTTGTACTCCCAGATGACATCAGTTTCTAAAGGAATTAGAAATTACAAGGGAAAATCAGTGAAATACTTCCAAATTGAACTGCCAATAGCAGATCATAGCATTCTGTCTGAATTCTTTTACTAAATTTAGAAATTTCTCTCTTCCACTGGTCTAAATTTGATCCTTCAGATAGGAACATATTAGGTTTACAGTATATGCACAGAATATTTAGAAATATCACCTTACTACATCCATGACCTTTGTGTTGTGAATCAAATAAACTAAAAAATCACTAAGTTGCTCTCTTTTTTCCCCGTTCTTTTTTACTAGGGGGAAGAAAGAAAAAGGAGAAAAAAAAAAGAAAAAAGCTCATTATTGGATACCAACATGAAAATTGGAATTTATCTACTTCTTTTATGTGAAATCTGTTTTGAAATTAGCAAGGCCGACATCAAACCTAAATCTCCAAAGAAGGACAAGAGGCTGAATTTCTCAGGAAAAAATAAAAACCTCAGTATTTCTGAAGAATGGAATCAACATAAAAATGACTCTGAGACTTTGCAAGAGGAAAGTTTTGAAGAGCTTACTCTTCACAATTTCACTGAAAAGACAGCAAATTTTGGATTTAATCTCTACCGAAAAATTGCAATGAAACTTGATAACAATATAATTATCTCTCCCCTTTCTGTATCAACCCTCATGGCTACATATTTGCTGGCAGCTGAAGGGGAAACACACAGACAAATAGCAAAAGCTCTAAACCTTCATCCTTTGGAGCACAGAGATCGCCATTATTTACCAGCACTGTTTAAGCAACTGAAAGATAACATCTCAATGAATGAAGAACTTCTCTTTGTGCAAGGTATTCTTTCTTTTATCCAAAAGGACTTTGTAGTCAGGGAAGATTTCCTCAACTTATCTAAGCAGTACTTTGATATGGAATTCCTGCGTGTAAACTTTCAAAACATCACACAAGCAAAGTTTGTTATAAATCAAAACATTAAACAAAGGACCAAAGGACAAATATCAGAGCTTTTTGAAGAAGTTGACAGACATTCTAAACTGCTACTTTTGGACTACATTTTTTTTAAAGGTAACTATTGTTTTCACAAAAGGCCCTGTATCAATTCCATGAACAATCCTTCTTCGTGATTAAGTTTTAATTTTTTACTCGCCACTGAAATGAAATCCTAATCATAACAGCTTGTTAAATACAAGGTACTGGGCATAAAAAACAATTGTCTGACTTTCCATAGTGCACAAGTTAATGAGAACAGAAATTGCTTCTCTATTCCAGTCAAGAACCTTTTTCCCTGAGAGAAACCAGAGACAAAGGGCTCCCTGATGGTGACAGAGGCCCACATTTGACTGCAAACAGCTGTATGAATGCCAGAGGTACCAGTTTAGGTAAAAGCAATGCTGAAGAGTTAGACAGCAAAAGAGAAGAGAGGAATGCTGATCAGAGAACCCATGCTTAAGCCTGCTGCAGTCCAAGGCACTCAGGAAAGTGGAAACCCCACTAAAATAAACATGTATGAGAACAAATTAAATTACCTTGCAGCCATAAATCTATTTATTCTCTTAGATTCAAAAGATTGCACTTTATCCAATGCTGAGTTTACTTTCCCTTGCAGAAAACCAGAGAAAAGAAATAAATGGCTGTGATACAGTTTGAGTGAGAGTGCAGAAATCAGAATCAATTGCTTAAAAGAGGTCACATTCCAAAGCACCTTCTTAGACAATGCACTGCTGAATTCCCATTGAAGAGATCGTATAATTACTTAAAAACAGGATGTTGAACAGCTGGTAGAAATTTTCAGAAAAGATGTCATGTTAATAAAAGACAGATGCTCAGATGGCATTCTGAACTTGCTGGTTCTGAACACAGATGGGTTCTGAATTTGACTGGCAATTAAACCATCATAGAATAATATTTCCCTCCTTTCCCTACAACTGAAGCAGTTTATTTGGTGCATTTTCCTGCTGTAAAAATTTTTAAGAACATTCACTAAGTATACTGCAGTTATCATCCAGTTGTCCCAGACACAAATGACACCCACTTTAACTTGCTGCAGAAAGGATTCTACGTTTTTTTAAAAGGCTTCTGAAAATTTTGTTGAACCAGTCTGAATAATTATTTCATTTTTCTTTCTCCAGGAAAGTGGCTATATCCATTTAATTCAAAATTCACAGAAATTGAAACTTTCCACATAAACAAATACAGAAGTGTGCAAGTACCAATGATGTTCAAGTCAGATAAAGTAAATTCAATGTATGATGAGAATTTAAGGTGCAATGTGATAAAACTACCCTACAAAGGCAAAGCCTACATGC